AAGCAACAACAGAACGCAGTGGGGGCTCATTCAGTTTGTAAAATAAAACTGGAGTTGAGGGGGGGGATTTTAGTAAAAAGAATATGTATCTATTTAAAAATATATGTTTGTATTTAAAATATATTTATTTTTAAACAAATTGAATTTAAAAACAATAGTATCTATTTTAAAATATATTTATGTATTTGAAAATATATTAAAAAAATTATGTATATATTTGAAAAAATATTTATTAATTAAGAAATATTTACTTATGTATTGCGACGGGCGGGGCTTGAGAGCTGCGCGACCCAAGGGAACTCCAACAGTCGTCAACAGCCGGCCCAACGAAAGCGTGAGGCCGACAGAGCGATCGAAGGTGGTGGGGGGGGGGGGGGGTAGCAGGGGGCGGTGGATCCATCACGACCCTCGCCACCGCATTCCGTCACGAGCCGAGGGACCCCCCCACTCCCGCCCCCCTCCGCTCATCGTCACTTCAAAAAAAAAATACAGGTGGCACGGGCCTGGATCGGTGCGGGGTGGTTTTTACAACGCGTCGCGCGGCGTCTCGATCTCTCTCTCTTCCCTGCGCGCTTTGTGCGACCCGAGCTGGTGTGGCTCGATCAAAACGGAAATTAATTGGCATCGCGACAGACACTTTATATCGGCAGGATAACAAGCTAACAAAAAAGTGACGGCTCTTTTCTTTTTCAGTTCTACGAAAGTCCTCCCGGCTGCCACATTCCTCGCGCGATTCTCCACGGTGATATCGCACGCGTTGCTCTCGTCGTTTAGCTCATCTTCGTCGTTATGAAGAGTGACAGAACACCGTAACTGCGTAATGTACTGGCGAATAGGTCATTGCAACGTGTACGGTATTGCTTTCTCTCGTGCGGTCCTGCAATTTGTGTACGTTCAAGGTTATGCGAACGGGCGTTGTGTCGTGCTCAGGGTTTTTTTAAAATCCTTTATATTAAGTTCGCTTGCTTGCTTGCGTGCTTGCTTGCTTGCGTGCTTGCTTGCTTACGACCGTGCAAATCTTTCGGTCGTTTTTTAACCCACTTCCCGTGATCCAATCGAGCTGACATTTTCCACACAGACTCGTTGTGCGAGACAATTAATGTTCGTGAAAAAAAAATTCCCAAAATTTTACACTTTTTAAGCAAAATTTTTTTATTTTACATTTATTCAAATAGAACTCATTCATGGCTTTGGCTGCACGTCACAGTGTAAGAGCCCAGAGCGTAACCCCTCCACAGGCCGTGGCGGAGTAGCGCAGTTGGTAGCGCCCTCGTTTCCCATGCCAAAGGTCGCGGGATCGATCCCCGCGTCCTCCACAGGCGAATATATTTTTAAATCATTTATATTATGTTCGCTTGCTTGCTTAGGACCGTGCAAATCTTTCGCTCGTTTTTTAACCCACTTCCCGTGATCCAACCGAGCTGACATTTTCCACACAGACTCGTTGTGTGTGACAATTAATTTTCGTGAAAAAAAAATTCCAAAATTTTACACTGTTTAGGGAAAACAAATTAAATATTTAATTACCAATTGCTTAATGGTGGCAGACAATCATCTGACCCATAGGTGGCAGCGATCTCAAGCCAGAGGACGAGAGGACTCTAGCCGCCACGCATATAAAGGATTTATAGTGAAAAACTTTGTTTTTACGGGTTTACTTGTTAATTTCTCGAGTGCTTTCCGGCAAGCACGTCAACCCGCAGCCCAGCGAGTTTGGGATTTTCGGTGACCCACCAACCCTCGTATTAGACATGGGTGGGAATTGAACCGAGGTTAAACATGGGCCGGCTTTCGTTAAACACCAGCACCAGCAGCAGCAGGCAACGCTGTATACTCGAGGTAGAACGTGAGCAATTCCGTTCACTTCCTGAATTGCTTTACGGGCACGTACATGTATGTATTTTGAACTTCTTTCGCACCGTACGTAGCCAACTGTGCTAATCGGAGGTGCAACGTTTATGTACTCTGCGACCGCTGAACTCAACTTGATTCCCTGCCACAGCTGACATCAGTGGGATGTGATATCTGAACCGATCCTGGGCATCCCTCCTTCACTGAAGGAGGGATGCCTGAGGAAGCCTTCGTCCAGGTGTGAATCAACAAAGGTCTGTCATTGTTTATTGTTCTTAACACTTAAATGTATTTTTGCACCAGCACGATTTCGGACTTGCTGCCGTTACATGTCGTAATGTTTGGCTTTTGAGGTCACGATATAATTTGTGATGTAAATTAATCCCGAAGGGACGTTCATTAAGGCTTGTGTTCCTCGTTTTATGAGGTAGGGCTCCCAGAGGCACCCACGGTCATTTTGCGCCGCTACCACAACAGGGCTCCTCGGGATGATGAAAGCAATGGTCTCAAGACGAGACCAGGAGGGCATTACCACCCAGGGCCAAGCAAACACAGGTGGCGTGAAGTCACACAAGTTGGGCCCCAATCGGCCACGGGAATCCGATCCCTGAATGTTGTCACGAAGCTGCCCGTTGTGCATTTAGGCTTTTGGGGGCGGGTGGAAATGTTTTCTTTCCCCGACAAACATCGGCCCGATGACCACTCCTGTGAAACGTTGATTAAAAAAAAATAAGCATGGGAGTGACGAGGTGAAAAAGAAATTGCGCTTGGAAAGGGCTCCTATTATTCCAATTAACGTAATTAAATCATTACTTCAGCTACAGAAAAGTCAGGGACCAGTGGGCCGTTCAAAATTGTTTCCTGAAAGATGGCGGAAAACCTCCCACCCCCCCAAAATTCCAAATTTCAAAATGATCACGTGGCCAACAGAAAGTCGAGCTTCTGAAGCATTTGCCAGATATTATCGTAATTTTTTTTATTAAGGTCATCGAGTCTTTCACAATAACACGAAGCCACTTTTCTCCCGTTTTTTGTGTTGTTTTTCAAAATCTGATAAGAAAGCGCAGAACTTAAAAGATTTTGGCTCCGCATTATAAAAATTGTCAAAATACGTTTCTCTTGAAGAGAGCAAGGCCACGCTGCTAATTGGACACGGTGACGTATTGGCATTTCCGTCTCGCTTGGAAGCGAGTGAGCTTCGTTAGTTTTTTTCTAAATTGTTAAAGCTGAAATAAGGCAGAGCGCAACTCTGACAGCAACCGCTAGCGAGGCCGTTCCCCGTAAGTGGTTGTGCCCGATGCCGTTATTCATCTGACAGTATAAATAAGGGCCGAGAAAATTGGCTCGCAATATATTCTACGGGACATTTTTTTTTTTGCCAGTATCAAAATGATGGAAAAGAAACGAGGAGAGGATTTGCCCTTTCTGGCAATAAAACAGGAGGTTTTGAGATGTTCAAACACCAAATGCATCAAGTATACATTCACCAAATGCTTGTGGAAAGAAATGCTAACAAACATGCTTTGATAATATATGCATCCGTCATACTTGCATTGCATTTTTAATGTTGGCCTTTTGGCGTCCTCTGGTCAAAATGGTGAGACGAGGCCGTTAACAGAACGCCGTCTCTGTTGTAGGCCAATCAGTTCCGAAGACAATGCAGACATCAATTCTAGATTTGTAGCTTTCGTGACTGCAAGGATTCATACTCTGAGGTTTTTTCGGTAAAGTCACGTAGGTAAAAAAAATATATATATAAATAAAATAATAATAAATCAATTAAATCACGAAGTTTCGGAGGCAACAGCTAAATTTATACAGTAACAGCTGTGACGGTCCCACCTGAAGACGGAGACTTGTGTTGACTCCGAAATGTCGTGATTTAATTGATGTATTATTATTTTATTTCTATTATCATGTTTTACCTACGTGACTTTACCGAAAAAAACTAAGAGTATGAATGCAGATATCATCAGAGCGCGTTGGTTTGCGTGCGTGTTGTATGATGGCGAGTGGTCGACAAAAAGGATGGGAGTGCGAGCCAGGAGAGGGAACGCGCTCAGCAGGACGTCCGCCGTGGAAATGGAGCGACGAAACCAGTTGGTGTGCGATGCTCCGTGGATCGTTACACTGCGGGGCAGCGATTGACGGCGACGGTTTGGGGAAGACTTCACTCAGCGCAGTGGATCGATCAGGGCTGCTAATTGATTGACGGCTCAACTCTAGATCACAGGCACGGTGGACACGTTTACACTTTTTCAACGTTCTCAAAACATAATCCCACACAAGTGACGCGTCGCGTTTGCCTTGCACGCGTCTAATATTTCTCTGTTTTCGCGTTTTTTCTATTCTTTGCGCATGACGATGGCAGCAGTTTGGTTTGGGAGCTGAAATTGACACCATCGAGGTCTGCTCGCCACAACGAGATGGCTTCAGGAGAGAGACTTCGCGTCGTTTTGTTGTTCCTCCTCCTTTGAAAGAGCGCACACTACGGTGGCTTACACCATCAACTTGCCATCTGCATGCTGTATGTATATTGTATGCATGGTGTACGTATGTATGTTGAACTTCTTTCGCACCGTACGTAGCCGACCGTGCTAACCGGAGGTGCGGGCGGAAGGACAGCAAACTAAACACAAATAAAAGTTCTAAAGAAATGAGTTTTAAATATCGATTTAAAAGTCCATCGCTCCAGTGGATTCCTAATATCGGACGGAAGATCGTTCTCGGTGGCAGTAGAGGCGCATCTGAAAGCGCGCGATGCAGTGAGAGTCTTTGTTTGGTGGCTAGCAGCCACAAGCCACTGCATCTGCTGCTGCTGCTAGGATGACCGCAGTTGGCGTGGTGGTATTTTGTGCTCCTTGACACACATCCTCGGCGTGTGTCTCCGACAAGGCGACGGTGTGAATGGTAGTGTTTGATCTTCTTGGTTCTTTTGTGTGTGTGTGTGTCATCTCAGTCAGTCGACCCGTGGCACCTGGGTCTGCCCCGTGACCTCCTGCCAGCGGGTGTTCGACACTTCACGTGGCCTCAAGGTGCACATGGCCTGGCACAAGCGTCGTGGTGACGTCACCGCCACTTAGTGGCGAATGGCGGTTGTTGTTGTTTTTTAAGTATAACAGTCACTGGGCACTTTGTAGAACACAACGTGTTTTCCAGTTCATATTTATTGTGTATCAGAATACGCACATTCTTCCTTTAAAATATAAAACGGTATAAAAGAAAATGTTAATATATAACTATTATATACAAAGGGCTCATATATATGTCAAGATGATGTTAAAATGTAGTCACCACACGCTGAGAAGTGTTTTTACATGATAGCAATATAACTGTATTACGCACATATATATATATAACGTCTGTAATCTTTTCGAGACTTACTTAAAAAAACAAAGTGCTTCTGCACTTGTAGTGAGAGCGGCTTTAGAAAATCAGCCGTCCAGAAATAAAAGCAGGCATTGTCATAATGAAGCATCTGGGCTGAAATTTGTTTGGAGAAGAAAACTCACATCCCCTGTGAAATGTAATGAATTATCACCATTAGGGGTTCTGATCCCATTCAAGAATTGTTTCTTCCGTGTCGCCGTTTTCACCATCTTATTTCTACGAGACATTTATGTTTTCCACCTTATGTTGACATTTGTGCCCGTGCCATTAGCCCTATCGGCACCTTTAGCATTTCACCTACATGTGCTTAAATTCGTTAAAACCATCGATGGGTGCATCGTGGGAATTGTCAATTGATAAACGGATGCATCGTTACACCCCTAATATCTGTGATCAAACATTAATCATTTATATAAATTAAAAAAACTCAACACATTCGGCAATATAACACTGCCTTTAAAATAAAAATATGTATTATTAAGAGAAGGTCCATTGCCCAAAACGTCGCCTCGTATACGTTTTTATTCTTTTAAGGCTACAGTGTTATTTACGAATGTGTTGAGTGATTTTTTGTTATTTGTGCTTGTGTATAACTGCCTATGCAGCAGCAGCATCACCAAGTAACTCGCTAAATAATTTATCTGTCAGTTAAAAATCGCTTGCCTTTCAGAAAACTGTCAAGAATGTCACGTGACTGAAACAAAGTTGCATTGATAAATGTTAACAAATAACGTGCATGTATTGATGTGTTAATGAATAACTCGTTTGTTTGTACGTTGAACTTCTAATTATTGTTGTTAATATTATTGCCCTGGTATTTTCATGACAACGAATTGGATGCGTAGCTGTGGAAACGCACGTGGATCGTCAGCATAAAAAAAAAAGAAATGCGTCGATGAAACAACGCGAAAATAAATCGGATGGAAGTGGCCGTACAACCGCTTTGAGTCCATTTTAAATACTACCGCCAGATCGAATATCGTGCCATGTGGCCCAGGCGCACGCGTTTAAGGCGCTCTTACCGCGTGCACGTAACCACGGCGGGAAAACACAAAAAAAACACACACAACCCCAGAGCAGGTTTTACTGCCAAGCTCGTGTGCGCAATAAAAACCCAGCATCTGAACATCTGCAGCTTTTAATAAACGCAGGAAGTCTCGGTGGCGGGCGGATGTAAAGACGGAGCAGGGGGGGTGGGGGGGTGTTTGTCGTACGCTAAATAATTGTTGCAAAAACAAAACGGTGATCGTCACAAGTTGCAGTCGTCCAAACCCTCACCCACCCCCCCGCCGCCCTGCCAACCCCGTACAAGCTGCTTGTGATCAGTCACCGCGGCCGTACGCCATCAATAACTGAGCGGTTATTTGGATGATTAAGCCATCTTACCGGGGGCAGATTCGAGGGGAGGTAACAAACGGGGATATTTGTCTCTGGCCCCAAGACTCCAGGGGTATCCATGATAAAAAATATATATATTTGAAGAAAAGTTGGACTGTTCATTAATATCATAGCTCTAATATTAATACTATAAACAATGCAGTTATACTTTTACTGGAGTGCGGTGACGCTTGGGCATTGTGTGTTTGTGTCAATATCAGGGTTGCCATCTCTGAACCACAAAAAAACCAGGACATGTCATGGGATTAAGAATGTCTTTCACAGCACTGGAAGCGGGGGCAAAACTACATTGTAATGCACCGTGTTAAGCGTAGGGCATAGTTGCACAGCTGACTTACAGATGCCCCAGGACCGCAATCTCACTCAAACAGAGGACGATCCTGGGAAAAAGACCAGGACAGGTGGCAACCTTAGCATCTTGAGTGTAAGAGATGGGGTGCGTGGGAGGGGGCGTGAGCACGGGGGGTTTGAGGAGCAGCGGTTAATTTCTGTTCCTATGCCCCGCTCATGAAGATAACTTAAATCATCTGACCCTATTCTCTCTAACCATACGTCTACCACCAGAGCAAGCGTCGCCACCGTTAACCAGCAGCGGTAGCTGCAGCGAGTCGCGAGACGCGCGACAATTCGACGTTTGTCGCGTCAGGAGTCGAAGTCGGCGGGACGGATCTTCATGGTGGTGGTGCGCAGGGAGTAGCTGGAGCCCTTCCAGTAGTGCCACTTGACGCCGTTGAATTTGCCCGTGTGCTGCCCCCCCGAGTAGTGGCGGCCGTTGAGATTGGACGCCCCACACGCGTCGAACCACCAGCCTGAAAGCAATTTTACAGACGGAACGATTATTCTTATTTTTTTGGGTTAAATGTTTCACGCGTGCGAGTTTCCGCGGCTTCAAAACCCAGCCGAGGGCGGGCGTGCGACCGCTCTCCAATTGTGTGCCAGGACAGAAAACAAGAGAAGAGGTGGGGAAAGAACACAGAAACAACTCTCTCTCTCTCTGTTAAGCTCATGTGGCATTGCGTTGTGTGCCAGCACAGCGTGCGGTTTGTTGTGCTTCGGGGGATTGTTGTGGCAAGCATGCTGGGGAGAAAAGCCAGGGAGGGTTACGTCGACTTAGTCGTGCTCAGCTGCGGCGGCGCGTGAATAACCTGGCCAGCCGTAGACAAAGGGGGGCTCTGTGCCCGCACTCCGGAATCGAGCGGAGCACGCGAATCCAATCGCAGCGTTTAGCCGGCGCGTGAATGGAGAGCTGCGATGGGTAGTCCAGTAAATACAGAGGGAGAGACGGGTTTTCTTTCTCCTCCCCACGCCCCACCCCCCCAACTATTTTCACTTTAATTCGATGGATAAAGGTAAAGGAGCAGCCCCTGCAATTGCTTGTTAATGCCCCACTTCCGGCGGAAGTAACTCCACCAGAGGGAGCTCTAGAGCCCCTCTAGAGAGGGCAATGCAGTTAAAGACGGGAAGGCATCATGGAAGAGGTCGAAGTACCCACACTTTACCCCACCACGCGCGGCCTTTCGGTCAACCAACTTGGTGCACACATTGATACGCAGCTGGGTCGACAGACGCGGGAGGAGGGTTTAAGAACCCTGCAAAGCGGCAACCTCTGGGTTCCAAGTGCCACGCGTGAAACAGTTACACCAGCGCAGCAACCATCGTCGTATAATTGAGTGAGTTGATCGATGACTTTGACAAACGGACAGCCCAGACCCACACGTGAATCACAACAGCCCGGCAAACTGCGGAACGTCAAGGGCCAACGTTGGCCCGACGTTTGCTGGGGGAGAGTGGCTCCTCTTCTCACCTCCGGTCGCCATCTGTGAGCAGCGGCAGCCGCAGTTGTCGTTGTCGGCATCCTTGGTGCTGAAGCTGACGCCACTCTGGCTCAGACTGCTGAAGCGTCCGGCTGTGCCACCAAAGCCCTTCAGCAACAGCCTACGATGCGCACGCGTGCACGTGTATGTGAGATTTATACAGGCGGTTCTCGACTTAGGAACACCCGCACTTGCGAACGCCCGCAGTTACGAATAACCCTACTTATGAACACCCGCACTTACGAACACCCGCACTTACGAACACCCCCACTTACGAACACCCGCACTTACGAACTCTCGCACTTATGAACGCCCGCAGTTACGAATTCCCCCACTTAAGAATACCTCCACTTATGAACACCCGCACTTTACGAACACCGCTACTTACGAACACCCACACTTACGAACCAGCTTCCATTAATTTTGTGTATTGACTTAAAACGCGAACTCACAGTTGCAAACTGAACCACGGAAATATTTTGCTCAGCGAAGTGATTATCTGCGAGATGTAATGAGTCAGTCTCGTCTGCGTGTGTGCACATTGTGTGTGTGAAAGTGAGTGTGGGGAGCGGTAGCGTCGCGGTTAGCGCACTGCGCTATGAACCCGGCGACCCGAGTTGGATTCCCGCTCACGACCAACACCAGTGACAATTATCTGAACGAGGTCGACTCAGCCTCAAATGAGTAGCTTGTGCGGTATGTAAACATCGCCACAAAGGCAGCTAGGCATGGTACTGGTCACACATCTCCTCTTGTGCAATGCCGGCCTTCATAGGTGCTACTCGGTAACAGCACTTGTCTCGACAGCACTGTTAAGGAGATATATATTCTTGTTTGCTCACATATTAGTACAGTACTGTGGTCACCCTATATCTGTTTAATGTTCGCGTTTCTGTGACTTAGTTTTGTAATGCGTGCCACATACAATCTGGAGGTAATCTGCCTGGGCCGATTTGCGCTGCGGGGAATTTAATACTTTACTTTGATTTTGCATTGATTTATGCTTGTGCACTATTTGGAATTCCTCAAGCGAATGGGGTTGTGGTATTTTTTTTTTTGGTACGATGTCTGCTTACTTCACCGCTGGACTTATTTTGTTTGTTTTGCTTTTGTTAATTTTGAGTGACCCGGTTACTTTCTGCAAATGCGGCTGCTCTGGTCCCATGAGTTTCCGCCCAGTTAGACAGGACAAAGTTCGAACGTGCACAGCCAACTTTCAGGACAACAAACCCTTAATATTCGCGGGGCTTCTCCAATTGCGGTTTTACTTATGATATTGATGCAGTTTATATTTTAGTTTTTTACGTGGTGGTTTGGGTGCTGCAGCTCCTTACTATTAAAATTTCCCTCCCTTTATTACTGCTAATCCTACATAATACACGAGCATAATATGACTTTGAGACCCCCCCCACCTACACATTCCACAAGTAGTGACTAATCCCATATCTGCATTTGCAATAAATATGCTAAATTCCTCTGTTGATATGTAAATTCCTTTGTCAAGGCGCTCTCCTCCTCTAACCCAGCTTACATATACGCTGCCAAGCTTGGTGGTGTTCATTCGGACGCTGTCTTTCCGACAGCCCTGTTCTTCACCTGAGGACGGCTGCTTGCGTTGTGGCCGAAACGTCGTGAGAATTGTATTTTATGTTTTATTTTTATTATTTTATTATTTCCCTTCTACGTGACTTTGCCGAAAGAACCAAGAAGATGAATCCCTGCAGTCACGAAAACTTAAAATCGAAAAATTTAGAGTTGCCACTTCCCAACAAGAAATCGCGAGGCATGGAAGATTTTCTTCACAAATTATTTTTTGCGTCACTTTGTTGTCCTTCCCCCGCGGCTCAGATGACCACGGTTGGCTACGTACGGTGCGAAAGAAGTTCAACGTACGTGCGGATGGAGAGAGCGAAAAAGTTGCTCTCCTGCTCACTTTGTCTTTGTTTGCTGCACCGTTTGCATCGCTAGTTCTTTCCTTTACAATATTTTGAAATTAGGTACCGTATAATATTCATTTATATGTTTCTATTCATTATTGTTAAAGGTGACTTAAATAACACAACGATGCTGTACAATATATATGTAGGCATTAGTATATACGGACAGATGATGTGTTTATATTTAAATCTAATACATGTTTATGCCCCTCCATAACCCTATTTTTTTGCGGATTTAATGTTCACGAAGTTCTCCAGGAACGTATAACCGCGAATATTAAGGGTCTGCAATTTAGCAAACTCATTGCAAGCCTGTACTACTCGTTACACTCTAAGTATGCACATAGTCACTTTAAGATGTTATCTTGTTCATGTTTTTTTGTTTGTTGCGGTTGCACCCGATTCAAGAGACGAATGGCTCACAGGGATATACCTAATAAATGAACTTTGAACTTTGATGTACTATGCTGAACATCTTTCGCACCGTACGTAGCCAACTGTGCTGATCGCAGTCGATTGGCACTGGGCTCCCTCTGTGTTAAGACAAATGCTGGTTTTGTGCTGCCACTTTCTGCATGTCCCATTTGTCACTCCACCGCTAGACGAAGGCTCTCTTCCAGGTCATGGCGGGGATTACACTGTGGAACACAATTTCTGTTCCTGAGTGTTTTTTCGTAATTGCTTATGCATAAAAAGTATAGAAAATGGCAATTGTTCCCCACAAACTTTGCTTTTGACCCGGACAGTGATAAAATGTACCTATTTTCAATAGAAAACGGGCGAATTTGTGTATTTTCGTTCACATAAAGTCAGAAAAAAATAACATGAATCAAAATTAACATGTATTTATACTAAAGTAATATAAAAAATTACTACAAAAGATTTAGAAGTGAGTAGTTTTTCGAGATTTACGATTATGCTATAAATCACTTTCACGAATCAGCCACCAAATGTAGTGTCCCATCATGTTCTTGTCATACTGTCCTTGGTAGCGGCATTCAAAGTCCAATATATCCTGGTGGAAGCGCTCGCCTTGCTCCTCCGAGTACGCTCTCATGTTCTCCTTGAATTGATCAAGATGAGCATCAACGATGTTGACTTCGGGGGATCTTTGTATATACATATCTCCCATGGGGCATAAATGCAACGATTCCCTAGGGCCACCTCTAACCCCGTGAGCTGCCGAATCCCCAGCCCTGCGGTAGTGTAGCGGTTAGCGCGCTGCACTATGAACCTAGCGACCCGGGTTCGATTCCCGCTCACGGCCAACACCAGTGACGATTATCTGAACCGGTCCTGGGCCTCCCCTACGTCGACTCAGCCTGAAATGAGTACTTGGTGTGGTGTGTAAACATCGCCACTGGGGAGACAAAGGCGGTCGGGCGTGGTGCTGGCCACCCACCCCCTCGTGTACCGTTCCGGCCTTCATAGGTGCTCGCTAACAGCACTTGCCCCTACAGTCTGTTGAGGCTATACGGGGGATCTTTGTATATACATATCTCCCATGGGGCGTAAATGCAACGAATCCCTGGGGCCACCTCTAACCCCGCGAGCTGCCTAGTCCCCAGCCCTGCCCACGACGTCGTATTTTTTGGGGTTCTCAGCGGTGGCGGTGGCGGTGACGGTGCCCCCCCCCCCCCCACCGGTAGTGCTGCTTCTCGGAGGCGACGGAGAAGCGCTCGTAGAGGGAGAAGGCGCGGTGGCCCTCCCAGTCGCCCAGCTCCACGCGCAGCACGTGCGCCTGCTGGCTGCTCAGCTGGTGCACGTGCTCGTTCCCCAGCCAGTGCTCTCCCGCCGGCTCGCCGAACCCCTGCGGGGCACGCGCACGTTGCAACACGCACGGATAAAGGGGCGAAGGTCGTCCACCCACCCTCCCCCCACCACCTCGTGTAGACTGTTAACAGGCTTTTCGATTTAAAGCTTTCGTGACTGCAGGGATTCATATTCTTGGTTCTTGCGGTAAAGTCACTTGGAAGGGAAATAATAATAAAAAATATAACTATTTTATTATTTCCCTTCTACGTGACTTTACCGAAAGAACTAAGAATATCTTAACAGGCTGTCGGGGCGAGTGCCGTTAGCGAGCGCCGATTTGACGACACTGTGTTGCCAGCTCCACTGCCCTGCAGCCTTTGTCTCCCCAGTGCCGATGCGTACATTACCACACCAGGTATTCATGTAATGCGCAGACCACCTAGGAGAGGCCCAGGACCTGTTCAGGTAATTGCCACTGATGTTAGCCGTGGTGGGGAAACAAACTCACTTCGCCGGATTCTCATCGCCAGTGCGCTAACCACTGCGTCACCGCTCCCCACAAAACACATTCGCGCCCATGAGTGCACATACATACACACATGTACACGCGCACGCAGGCTGATCATCGGACCCACCACATTTTAACTGAGCGCTTTGAGGAGCTTTTATAAACATTATAACCGGCCCACAAATCTTGATGGCATTTTCCAAATGCTCTCAGCGAAAGCCAAGGGCACCTGGTTGCCGTCCCCACTTAGCCAGTCAATCGCACTCACGTGTTTACGTTTCCTTTGAAATAATTTTTGTCACCTGTTCTATCGCAGCCACGTGAAACAACTTGATGGAACTTCGATTTTTGTGTAAATGCTAAAGAGATCCAGTTGTGAAAATGTTTTGGCAGCTTTGTTCAATAAAACTTCAACCCAAACCACCCTCCTCCCCAACCTCTTCTCAACATTATGCAAGATTTGGCTGCATAACCGTCTGTTAGGTCGAGTGAGAGGGCATGTGGTGCAACAGCTACGAACCCGGCGACCCGGGTTCGATTTTCCCCACTCACGGCCAACACCAGCGACGATTATATTATCTGAACCGGTCCTGGGCCTCCCCTAGGTGGACTCAGCCTTGGATGTTTACTTGGTGCGGTGTGTAAACTTCACCACGTGGCGTGGTGCTGGCCACCCACCCCCTCTTGTGCCATGCCGGCGTTCATAGGTGCTCGCTAACAACACTTGCCCCAACATTCTGTTAAGGCTATACGGGGGATCTTTTTGTGCGGGCAGAAGCTGTCGGTTTACGATGACAGTGCGGGGCATGCGATAACCAGATCCATGCTGCCAACACCAGAGTTACACTAAATAATCGTGGCAAAGAAAAAAACTTCACGCATTCACCAGTAACACGGTGTGTGTGTGACAGAGCAGGGGCACAACATACACACTCCGCACGGAAAAATGCACCCGAGTTCGGAATCGAACCCAGACGTTTCTTGCTGTGGGGTCACAAGCGTTACCACTGCACCACCCAGCCGCCCACAGATGAGTGGTATACGAATATTATTATTATTATTATTGTTTTAACTCAACACATTTGTTAATAACACTGCCTGAAAAAGAAAACACAAAAACGTATACAACATATTTATGATAGATTGTGTTGTTGACGAACGTGTTGAGTTTGTTGTTGTTGTTATTTGTGCACCACTGCCAACGCAGCAGCAGCAGCAATAATTGGCAACACAAACAAAAACAAAGGATCTAGTTGCGTAGCTGTGACCTAAGCCAGGACAGGGTAAGAGAAGACGGAGACGAGAGCATGACAGGCGGAGAGTGCGCAATCGGTGAAGGGGACTCAAGCCGCCAAGCGAGGCACGACGACTCGAGCAGCACCACCCACGCCGTGCCCAATGCAACGCGTTCGAAAGGAATTGTTCAACGCCGCGCCGCGTGCGTCTAACTAATTCGGGCTGACTCGTGGCATCGCTTCTAAGAGCCGAGGGGGAATTGACGATGACAAAGCCTTGCCAAAAAAAACCTCTTATTATCGTTTGAAGCTCACAGCGGAAGGGGCGTGTTTTCTCGATTTAGAGAACTCTACGTTTAATTCTCCGTGCTTGGCTGTCCGTGGAACGTCAATACTCGCGCCTCGAGAGCTCGGGGGTTTGAGCGTGACATAGTCAATTATATTTAGGCAAAGTACCAGGTACGCGTAATTATTTAACGGCGAGCGTCAGTGCGTGTGCGCAGGTGAACGGTGTTGCTGCAAGCGCACTGAGCTGAGTGATTGTAAGCGTCCTCGAAAAGGAAATGAGTATTGGCTCATACAGCGCTATTTAAAAAAAAAATTATCTCACCCCCTGGAGTTTCATTATTTTATGTAATTTCGGGCGTTATGAATGTGGCGACGGTTTTTTTTTACCCTGGCGTTTTTTTTTACGGATGTGTTTAATCATATTTTTGTCAGATGTATGAAAACATTCCATGATATCATCAGCGACAGCCATGATCAATCCACTGCTAGATTAAAGCCTCCCCAAGCCGCCTCCGTCTCTTAACAATCCAATGCATTAATCCACCTAGCACATTCACATCATGCGAATGTATTTCATCGTTCCACAGTCCCCGGTGAACACACTCTTCGACGCGTTCCATTCCTTGGCTTGCCGCTCCATTGTTATTCTTGCCCTTTTGGTCACCAACCCTTCACGCCATTCCTCCGACCTTCTACGCAACGATAGCCGGGTGGGTTTAAGAATCATGGCTGAGTGACGGCCAACAAATTATTTCACCATTGGAACCTCCTTTGTTATTAGCAATATATGATAATTGGTTTTTTTACCTTTTACCTGGCAACAAAACTGACACTTTTTTTTATTATTATTAACAAATTATTTGACGACGAAAATTCTGGATAAATTTCCAATGGTAATTTCTTCATGCCCAGTTGCCCTCTCAGCACGAAAATTACACCGAGAATCCAGTAAGGGGAAGCTCAAGAGAGAAGGGCACGTGTGCTCACATCATCGATGCCCACGCTCGCAAGAGCCCACGTGCCGCACGTCGAAATAATTGTGTCACTATGGCGAGTTGTTAACTCTCTCGCCTGGTATGCAAGGAGGGCATGGGTTCGATCTCGACCCTGACGCCTGCTGTATATTTGAAGTTTGCGTGTCTCTCTCCCCGTGGTCGCGTGGATTTTTCTCCGGGTCCTCCGGTTTTCCCTTCCACATTTATCAACGCGTGTTTAGAGTATTTGGCTGCTATGCATTTCCACGTAATGAGCCACTTTGTTGAACTATCATTTATGGCCACGTCGCTTCTGCAAAAGAGCTATACAATTCAGTGGGCTTTACCTGGTAAAATAAAAATGGTTTAGTTGAGTTTATAGTAGTTTCGTTTGGTGTCCGTGCGTACAATATTCTCCAATACGCACGGCTCATTTCAGCCAGGCCTTTCTGGATCGGTGACTTGCAAAAAATATTCGCGCACCCGGCATGCCGCATCCATCATACCTCTTCGTTATGGCTCTAGCTACGAGTCGGGAACCACCTCCTCCAGTCTACCAGGCACCCGAGAAATATCAAAGTGACAAATTAAGCTCCGCAGGTTTTTGTGCGTGGCCGTGCTCCATCTGCGCCGGCACGGTCCTTTCGGCCTTGCGCTGCGCGCCACTCGGCCTCGACGTCGCGCAGACACGTGTTGGGACCTTCGTCTGGAATGAGGCCAAGTCTACTGCCACAATTAGCCAGGGCGCTGGTGGCTACGCTGCTGCACGTGGCCGCTGTCTGTAATCAGGCGCCGTGCAAGCAGCGGCGAGGTTTGGTGGATCGCCGCACAAATGTTGTGAAACTCCCCTTCTTCCCGTGAGCGTCGAGGAGGAGCAGTAACCCTGGCTCGCCAGAAGCCAGTACAGCAAGTGGGCTAATCGCCATCTGTTTGCATCTGTATGGGGTTAGAGTGTTGTCCCCCCCCCACCTCACGCGTGTGGGTTTACTCCCGGTCGCTCCGGTTTTCTGACACGTGTGTGAACCCTCCATATATCGGCTGAAAACATCATAAAATCTAAACCCAATGTAGCGGGGACCCTCCACAATTGAAATTCCGTTCTGTGAAAAAAAATAAAGCCCCCGCATCTCCGATTGCCACGGCTGGCTACGTGCGGCGCGAGAGAAGGTCAACGCATGGTGCGTGCATACGAGTGGAGCGAAACGGCGACCACCGTGGCGAATGACCCGCGCGGTCCGGTTAGCGTAACGCGTCGCGGAGCCGTTGACTTACGGCTTGCACGTGGTGCGTGCGGTGCGTGCGGTGCGGTGCGTGCGGTGCGCGCGGTTAGTGCGGTGTGCGCGGTGCGTGGGGTGCGTGCACGCTCGGTGTGTTCATCTCCCTGGCGGCCGGCGCGCTCTCACCAGCTTGTACTCCGCCCAGGTGCGGTGGAAATCCAGGCCGCCGTCGTCCCGCCGCTGGATCACGGTCCAGCCGCCCCCGTTCGTCTCCATGTCGCACCACACCTGAGCAACGGATGCAACCAATTTACAATTGCCGCAGCTGATAATTCGTTGCACGCACAGTGTACTCGTTCACTGGTAGGGAGGGAGAGAGATGTATTGAGATGCGTGGGATACCACGGGGAAGTGGGGAGACAGCCAGAACCGGGGCCAATAATTGCCCAAGCTCTGTTATCCTACATTGGGATGTTTGGCCAACTCCAGTTACACCAGTACAGTCACATGCATACAACGATCCCCTACATAGTCATACAGATTGATGCGGCAAGTGCTGTGTTGAGCACCTGTTAAAGAAGACAACACACGAGGCGCAGTGTGATCAGAGCCACGCTCTTCACACGTCAAGACAAAGAGAGGGTTTGTGTAGTAATTCGACTGTCGGGGCCACGGGGTAAAGCGAGCAAACATCAGTGCGGCATTAGAGGGTGGTGTTGCGAGCACCACACCCAGCAACCTCGGTCCCCCCAGCATCAACATTCACAAAACTGCATCGGGTACACATTTGAGGCTGGGTCAACCTTGGGGAGACACAAGATAGGCACTTATACTGGTAGGAACCTCCTGGTTACACCAGCCCACAGGGGATTATTGTGTCCGTCCGTCGTGCAGGGAGGGGCTGGGTGGGGAGAGGAGGGTGGGGAGGGGCTGGGTGGGGAGGGTGGGGCTGGGTAAGGTGGGGCTGGGTGGGGAGGGGCTGGGTGGGGAGGGTGGGGCTGGGTGGGGAGGGGAGGGTGGGGAGGGGCTGGGTGGGGAGGGTGGGGCTGGGTGGGGAGGGGAGGGTGGGTAGAGGCTGGGTGGAGAGGGAGGGGAGGGGCTGGGGGATGGGAGGGGAGGGGCTGGGTGGGGAGGGGCTGGTCACCCCGTGGTGCCCTTATAAAACTCAACGTTTAACCTACTCACGCCGGCTTGTGCCCGCTCTCACAGTCGGCCATATTTGTGGAATACACCACGCCGCCGCTGACGCTGGCCATTGACCGAGCAACCCAACGTGTTCCTACCAGCTCCCTCCGCAGGAATGTGTTTTGTCTTTCGCACGGCTGATGTGGATGCAGAGCAGCAACCACAATTTCACGTCCAGGTGGTCAAGCCAGCAGATAACCGCGTCAGGAGTAGCCGAGAAGTCGTCGAGTATCGTAGCTGTGTGATGTCTTCTTCATATTTGCGGATAGGCTCCGAGCCGCAATGATGTTCGTTCTGGTTGTGAATAGAACTACCTCTGCTCACGTGTGGCGATGCCGTCTTGTGCCAGCCTGAGTGTGTGCTCAGTTGCTTGGCTATTAATAGACTGCATGTCGGCTCGCCTGCCTGCTTGCCGATTAGCACGGTTAGCTATGTACGGTGCGAAAGAAGTTCAACACACGTGCCTACTGTCCATGGATCGTTTCCATGCTTGGGACAGATGTGTTTTATTACAACGGTGTTTTTTTTCATTCGAGAATAATTTGTTTACTCGGCGTTTACGTATATATTTATATATGTGTTTTTAAGATAGCGTGAATATATAGCCTAACTTTTATTAGCTCATTTGCGCGCATTTAGACGCGCGCATGTGCGTGTGTGTGTGTGCGTCTCTGTATGCGTGTGTGTGAGCGTGTGCGTGTGTGCGTGCGTGTGTGCGTGTGTGTGTGTGTGCGTGTGTGCGCGTGTGTGTGCGTGCGTGTGTGTGTGTACGCGCCGCGTATTTATTTACAGCGCACACGCGTGTGCCAAAACGATGATTAATTGAATTTTTATTTTTAAGCGTATTTATACAACGTAATTTAATTTAGCTGTGTACAGCTTATTTCTGATAGTAATAGTAATAACACCGCACGGTCAATGTTGCTGTAGATTCGCCCGTGGCTGACGCCGAGTCTGGGGGCCTGGGAGGCACATTCATTTGCGCGTGTTTGTATTAATTATCGCTGGTGTGCATTGGTCTGTAAGCGTAAGGGGCTGGTTTGGATAAAAAAAAAATGTGGGTTCTGTGATTTTGCAAAACGTTAAAAACATTCCTCGATCCTGATTCCCCATCGGGGGAAACTTGATTTGTGCTTTTGAGAATTGAACGGAGAAAAAATCGTATTAATAATGAGCCACCTGGTCCGTTAGCATTGTTAGCTTTCTAAGAATTGAATGATTATGCCAAAGACTTAACTACTCGGGGCATCCTAGCGAGGAGATGATATGACCTGTACAAGTTCTGTACAATTGCGAGCTCACGGCAACGCCAGTTGGCTCAGCGGCAGAGCCATCGGCTCTCAGTTGGAAGGATGCGAGTTCAAATGCTGCTTTGGGGCGGGTGTGTTGGGGGCGGGGGTTCTCACTCAGCCCATCATCCTTCCTGCGGTGATAAAATAGGTACCGCTCTGCGTGCAAGTAACCGGTTGGCTGTGCGAGGCGTAGGCTCGTCATCCCGATAGGAGAGTGGAACTTCCAACGGTGGCTCAGGGCTGCGAACAAGAGGCGAGGCTACTGCGCCGTTGCTCGCTGGAGCAGGAGATCTCCGCGGCTCGGTGCAAGAAACCGACAGACACCCGCGCGCGTTTCGACCGCCCCCTCTGCCAATGGGAGGCCTCTTTTCAATGCCATCACTGCCGCCGCCGCCGCCGCTGCAGCTGCGATGGGCCACGCGAGGCGATCACAGTGGACACTCTAATCAGCTTCGGCCGGTTTCTCCATACGCCTGGATCCGCGCCCGAAGTCACTCCAAGACAAACAACGTTTGCTCAAATCGGTCATCTCTGCCATCTCCACCCTTGTCAACTCTAATTTAGTTTTCCTTCTGCGGAGCCAACTTAATGTGACCGAGTATCGCGAGCAGCTTGGCATCGGGAGAAGCGATGGAGGCCCGCTGAGCTGCGCGTCGTAAGTTATTACCCGAAGCAGCGACTATCTCGGCCAAAATGGTTCATCACTGGGGCAACAATCCTGCCACCTGGGTTTGGCATATATGACGATATTCTGTCTTTGAGAAAAATGTCACTTGTGGATATATATAGAAATTGGATGAAGGCCTCGCCCCACCGTATCGGTCGCGGGGGTTGTTTGACCATACTTCACCACGCTGGTGAAGAAAGAGGTGGGGTGGGAGGCCCAGGACCAGTTCAGATTAAAGGTCGCCAATTTTACCCGGTAATCAATCTCGAGTCGTGGGGTTCTTAGCCTCGCGCACTAACCACCGCGCCACTGCTCCACAGCTATACACAAATCATATTAAAATAACAAAACAGACTGCAACATTTCATTTTTATGAACTGAATTGTATCCTCCGCCCTCCGGGCAATGTTGCAGCGTTGTACTGGGCATCTGTTAAAAAAAGCTTAATAGCTCTTCGGATTTCTCCTCCCCTCCACATTAAGCAGCGAGCACCCTCCCTGTCGAGTTTCCGCTACTCCGTCAAGACCTCCACCTCTTCTTCTCCCTGGCCCATCCTTACCTCCATCCCTGGTACCCACCATAATTCCCGTACCCACTAAGCCTCCCTCCCCATACCCCCTCCCTATTCACCGTATCACCTTTAGCTACCCTCATTGTACCACTCATAACCCTTGTAAAGCGCCTCGGTTTTAAAAGGCTATGAAAATATTGAAGATAAGATTCTGATTCTGTTCATCTCCACGCTGAACGTCTTCTCTCTGCGCCGAGGTCTCTGTCCTGACTCTGCACCCCAAGGACACACGGAGCATTCCGTGCTAGGCAATCCGAAGAGGGTGGGGGGTGTGGCCATGCCTTGACGGGCTGGCTCGAGTTGAACGCCCGCACGGCGTAGACTCCGCTCTTGGTGACTCCGGCTTGACGAGCGTGGGCGCAATCTCGGAACGGGGGCTTCTTCCCATCCTCCGCCTCTTCCTCGTCCTCCTCCAGCTCCTCATCGTCCCCGCCCGTCGACCCTCCGTGGCTGCTCTCTGTGGCTGCGGGGCAAAGAGGGCGGTGGCACGGGTGAACGATGTGGCACGGGTGAACGATGTGGCACGGGTGTACGGCAGCTCTGTGGCGTGACCTTGTTTAGAGGGAAGAGGAGGAGGAGGAGGGTCACGTGGCCCGACTCCAGCGGGGAGCAGGGCACAGACAAAGCGCAAACGGCCAACGCCAGCGACCGGCTGTCGTCGAAACAAAAAAACGAAACAGTTTTTATTTTTGCCAGGTAAGGCGCGCTGAGCTATTTAGAATTAACGTGTGTTTAGAGTATTTGGCTACATTTCCACGCGGTAAGCCACTTCGTTGAGATATAATTTGTGGGCAGGTTGCTGCTGAAAAAGAGCTATATACCTCAGTGGGCCTTACTTGGAAAAATAAAAACATATTTTAGTTTTAGTTCAGTTAAAATATTTATATATGCTCACCACGATAAATATAACAGTGACTCTGGATTGGCCTCCACTAAGACAGAGCCCTGGAGAGCTCCTCTGGAGGGGAATTTGACCAACTGCTACACGCTGGCCAAAAGTCTTGGAAGGAGTTTGGAGCACCCATACTTTACCCCCCCACCGCATGCAACGTAGCGATCGGCTGGTGAACTTTAATTCATACTGTGCGTTTGATAGAGTGGTGCTTGATTTTGGCTCGCGGTTTTGACGCTGCTCACAACACACAATGGTCCTCGGGGTGGTTTTAAACAACCGTATCACGCTTTCCGGATCTCCCAGCAAAAAAATGAAAAGATCTATGAACAGCGAGGAGTCCGCTTAGGGCCAATTAACACGTTAACATTTTGTTTTTATTGAAGTTTTTTTCAGTAGGAAAGTGTTCTTGGCAAATGAAGCAACAACAAAATATATATATACTTTGGCAACAGGCGTCTGGTCTTGTGGCCTGGCACGAGAAGCAGAATACAGCCCTAGTGAGCAGCAATTGGTTCACTGAGCACAAAGTTAGTGCTGCTATTGTGAAGGCATGGGCACCTGTGTGGTGTGTGTGTGTTTGATGCCACGCTATTGGGTTCCAAATGGGGGACCAGATTCCAACTGTGGCTCTCCCGACGTGTCGTCGGGTGGCACCGCCGCGTTGTCCGACGTTTTGCTGCGCAACATGGGGAGCTCCTTCAGGGACTGAACTCGCAACCGCCCGACTGCGAGGCACTCGCTCTGCCACTGAACAACCCGGCGGGCCAAGATTGAATGTTACATTCGAATCTTTATTTGCTAAGTACGAATTAAACATTTAGCAAGGTACATTAGCGTTACATTTACATGTATTGGGATTTTTTTTATGATATAATTTCTTAATCGTTTTCGCAGAATATACGCAATGGTGTTTTTTTCATTTGCTGTGGATAGTGTGAACAAGTAGGCTAAAGATACCCTCCGTAGTGGGTATCTGTACAACTCCCTGTACCAGAGACCCTTCAGACAGCTGTGGCGTGAGCAAGCCATAGCAGGGCTGCACCTTTACCTAAGGTGGGTATACCCAGTTGCCTCGACTGCCTGGCGAGCGTTCCTTTTCTTTCTGCCGTATGTATGTACGTTGAACTTCTTTCGCACCGTACATAGCCAACCGTGCTAATTGGAGAGGCGGGAGAAGGACAACAAACTAAACACAAAACGCAGTTCTAACGAAGTGCCATTTTCAATCTACATTTAAAAGTGCACGGCTCCAGTGGCTTCTTAATATCGGGAAGGAAGAGCGTTCCAGACCGCCGCGGAAGCGCATCCGAAAGCGCGCGACGCGGTGGCCGCCGTCTTTGTTCGATGGCTGAGCGGCGAGGACGAGCGGAGTTCGCGTGGCCCATGGATTCGCGCTCCGCGTGGGTCCCAAGCTGCCTAACGCGGCCACTCTCTCTGCCGCTGCGGACGAGAAGTCGCGGTGACGCTGAAAGCCCTCGGCACGCAACAACTCGGCCGTTCGTTTTGTTTAGTTTTTAAATCCTTTATTTTAAGTTCACTTGCTTGCTTGCTTGCGTGCTTACGACCGTGCAAATCTTTCGGTCGTTTTTTAACCCACTTCCCGTGATCCAATCGAGCTGACATTTTGCACACAGACTCGTTGTGCGTGACAATTTATTTTCGTGAAAATTTTTCCCCAAAATTTTCCACTTTTTAGGATTTTTTTTTCATTTTTAATTTAAAATACCAATGTGATAAAAATGAAACTCTTACTCAAGAAAAACAGAAATGAATAATAAAATAAAACCGATGCCACGCATATAAAGGATTTATAGTGAAAAACTTTGTTTTAACGGGTTAATTTTTTTCCCACCCAACTCGGGCGTGACACCGGCTACTTGTGTCCAAGCCCGTGCCTCTCAACTGAACGAGCCGCTTGATTCGCTTGCGCGAATATAATGAGATCGAAAGATTGCCAGTTGTGGTTCACCTGCTTTTGTATCTGTGTGTTTAATCTTCCACCGCAAAATGTAAATACATTGGAGGCCAATTGCTCTTTTCCCATTAGGTGTACAATTACCGCGTTTATGAGCACTTTGCTGTAATATAAATATCACAGTGGGGTTTTTGTGTGTTCTCTCACAATTCTCTCAGCGCCAAATGCTCTCCCGATTCATTGTGTTGTCATCAACATTAGTCATGATCTATCCACTGCTAGGTAAAGGCCTCCACGTGCCGTGTTGCAACAACCCATCTGGCTCCTGTGCACGAGCCGATATTTCGATGCTCCATCTCCACTGTGGACGTCCTACCATGGCTGCCATTCTGTCGCCGGTATCGTCCACCAACCATCATCTTTCAGAGTTTTTTTGGGCTGCTACAAAAAAAATCCACATCGTGATAAGCCACTTCGTTGGGCTATCATTTGTGGCCAGGTCGCTTCTAAAAAAGAGCCTTGTAGCTCAGTGGGCCTGACCTGGCAAAATAAAATAAATAAAAACCATCGTCGCCCACTCTTCTTCACAGTCAACACGATGCCTCCGGCGTGCGTGTCACGAGTGAGTTGTCCTTCCCCTTGCACCTCCGATCATCACGGTTGGCTACGTACGGTGCGAAAGCAGTTCAACATACATCACGTACGGTGTCCCACGTGATGATCTTGAATCTTTCGCCACTCACTGGGATCCTGATCGAGCAGCATCTACCAACTTTAGCCGGAACGCTGCGTTGTACCAAACACCCATCCCACCCCCCCTCCACCTCCTCGCTCGAGCCGCTCGCCACTCAAAAAGAAACCGAGTTCCCACTTCACAGCGTGGCGTCGAGATGACGGAGAGCGCACAGGCGGTGCAACTGCACCAGGCCCCGTTGGGGCTGAAGGGGCCCCGGGCGCCGAAGGGAAACGTCACAGAGGCCCCCTCCTTGAGCGCAGGGCCCACGCCAATCGCACACGACGCCGCATGAGAAGGGCCGCTGGGTTTGCGCGATAACAACTCGGAGTAATCTCTCCGCGCTGGAAGATGTAACGCCGAAAAGAATGCGCGCGATATAACTCGTGTTGGTTACAAGTCGGCTGCCAAAACACATATATATACGGGAGGGGAAAGCGACGTGGCTGCTTTGGGTTATAGCCCCTCGCCGGAGTGGGTGGGAGAAACGTTGCTTGGGTTGTACTGGACAAGATGACATTCGATCTGTGGTGGTGAGTCGGGAGTGTTTTTATCAAACTGGAAGAGTGGCTCAACGTGGATTCGTTGCAAGCTTACACTTGCATTACATTCGTGTTTGTGCGAGGTGTAAAGTTCTTTGGGCGCAAGCGTTGCTCTTAAGCCCGGGCATACGAGTGAGGGCCGGTGGAAACAATTTCATTTTGCCGACAGGATATTAAAAGAACACACACGCGCACTCGGACTCCTCGCCTCCTAAGATATGGAGCCCTCAATTAAAGTATTGCGTTGCGGGGATATAATTATAAAATTAAGACGCTGCTTTAAATTAAGCCAAACATTATTGCGGGTGAGACCTTGTCAGGATCATCACACGTCTCGCACGGACTGCGTATAATTTTGTGTGAACTCAAAAGTTTAGACTGCGAACAAAAGTTACGGGGGCTTGTGCAAGAGGCGTCGCCGGTTGGAACGAGTCTCATGGTGGAGCCACTGGAGCGTCAGCCAAAGAAGAAGAACCCACGCCCAAGAGAACGAGCCATCGGCCTGCCACCCAGCAAGCTTCACACGTCAGATTCGGCATTGGCAGCGACCTCAACAAGAGGACGACCCCACAGATGACGCCAACGGTAAGCAGTGGCTGTGGTGATGGCGGTTGTAGTGGAGGTGGTGACGGTGGTTGTAGTGTAGGTGGTGATTGTGATTGTCGTGGCTGTGATGATGAAGGTAGCTGTAAGTGGCTGTGGATGTAATGGCGGTGGTCATGGTGATTGTGGTGATGGTGGCTGTGGTGACAGTCGCTGCAGTGACTGTAGTGACTGTAGTGGCGGTGGCTGTAGTGGTGGGGACTGTGGTGGTGGTGGTGAGTGTAGTGGCGGTGGCTGTGGTGATGGTGACTGTGGTGGTGGTGAGTGTAGTGGCGGTGGCTGTAGTGGTGGTGACTGTGGTGGTGGTGGCTGTAGTGGTGGTGACTGTGGTGGTGGTGGCTGTAGTGGTGGTGACTGTGGTGATGGTGGCTGTAGTGGTGGTGACTGTGGTGACTGTGGTGGTGATGGTGGCAGTAGTGGTGGTGACTGTAGTGGCAGTGGCTGTAGTGGTGGTGACTGTGGTGATGGTGGCTGTAGTGGTGGTGAATGGTGATGGTGGCTGCTGTGGTGGTGACTGTGGTGACGGTGGCTGTAGTGGTGGTGACTGTGGTGATGGTGGCTGTAGTGACGGTGGCTGTAGTGGTGGTGACTGTAGTGACGGTGGCTGTAGTGGTGGTGACTGTGGTGACTGTGGTGGTGATGGTGGCTGTAGTGGTGGTGACTGTGGTGATGGTGGCTGTAGTGGTGGTGACTGTGGTGACTGTGGTGGTGATGGTGGCTGTAGTGGTGGTGACTGTGGTGACTGTGGTGGTGATGGTGGCAGTAGTGGTGGTGACTGTAGTGACGGTGGCTGTAGTGGTGGTGACTGTGGTGATGGTGGCTCGAGGCGGCAGTGGCCGTAGCGGCTGCAGTGGCCGTGGATTTCAGCGGTGGCACGGTGCCCGGGTGCCGCCGCCGCGTGCGCCGCTCACCCTGTGCGTACTGCGGCAGCAGGGCGAGCAGGGAGCGCACGCTCTCCGTCAGCTCCTGCTGCTGCCGCTGCAGCCTCGAGTTGTTGGCGGTGGCGGCTCCGAGCTGGCGCTCGAGCGCGCCCACCGCCTGGCTCTGCCTCCCCACCAGTCGCTCCAGCTCGGCCTTCTCCTCGCGCAGAGCGCGCAGCTCCGCGTGGTGCTTGTCGCCCAGCTCCCACAGCCGCACCTCCAGCTCCCTGCGGGCAGCGGAGGGGGGGAGTGGGCAGGAGAGGGGGGCAGCGGACGGAGGGAGGGGGCAGGTGAGGGGGGGCAGGGGAGGGGGGGCAGCGGAGGGGGAGGAGGGCAGGGGAGTGGGCAGAGGAGGGGGGCAGGGGAGGAGGAGAGGGGGGTAGGGAAGGGGGGCAGGGGAGGGAAGGGGGGCAGGGGAGGGGAGGGGGGCAGGGGAGGAGGGGGGTGGGCAGGGGACGGAGGGAGGAGAGTGGGCAGGGGAGTGGGCAGGTGAGGGGGAGCAGGGGAGGGGGGGCAGAGGAGGGGGGGAGGGGGCCAGTAGAGGGGGCCAGGGGTGGGGGAGTGAGCAGGTGAGGGGGCCAGGGGAAGAGGGTAGGGGCGGGGGGGGGGAGTGGGCAGCGGAGGGGGAGAGGGGCAGGTGCGGACGGTCACACGCACGACGCCCATTGGAGGCGTCTCTCGGCCACGGCTAAACAAGTGGGGGGGGGGGGGGGGAGTCCCTCCCTGTACCCACGGCGGCCGCGCCACTGAGGAGCTGCCGACAATCGTCTCGAGCTGACGGCCGCGCGGTGCGACGCGACGCGGCGGCCTCCTCCTCCTCACTTGTTCTTCTGCGCGAGGCGCCCGATGTCCTGGGTCTGCAGCAGCAGCTGCTTCTCCAGCTTGTGGGTGGACAGCGAGTTCTCCAGCAGCTGGATCTCCAGCCGCGACGTCTGGTTCAGCACCTGCCACGGCGCGACGCGCGGTCACCCTTAGTCACCCTTAGTCAACCTTAGTCACACACCTGTGTTTCCATGTGAGTGAGCCCAACCCCCCCCCCCCCCCCCCCTGTGTCTCCATGTGGGTGACCCCCCCCACCTGTGTTTCCATGTGAGTGACCCCCCCCCCCCCACCTGTGTCTCCATGTGGGTGACCCCCCCCCCCCACCTGTGTTTCCATGTGAGTGACCCCCCCCCCCCACCTGTGTCTCCATGTGGGTGAGTTTGCGCGTCTGCTCGGCCGTCTGGCTCAGCAGGCTGGTGCCCATTTCCAGCATGGCGGCGGCCACGTGCTCCTGCTGCCGCTGCTGCTGCTGCTGCGACGGCGCCACCTCCACCCTCACCGATTCCTCCAGCTGCGTGCGGCACCAACCACGGCCGTACCGATCGAGGTCGTGGCCACGACGCCACAGGGCAAGGCGAGTAACTCAACACACGTGTTTTTTAAAGGTCCACTGAGCTGCACAGCTCTTTTTCAGAAGTGACCTGGCCACACACGATGGCTCAACGAAGCGGCTGATCGTCACGCGGACATTTATAGCAGCAGCCGAATACTCTGCAACGCGTGACGTTGATTCAAAATGTGGAGGGAAAAACCGGAGGACCCGGAGAAAAATCCACGTGACCACGGGGAGAAAGAACATACAAATATACAGCAGGCGTCAGGGTTGGGATTGAACCCACGACCTCCTGCATACCAGGAGAGGTAGTTGATATCTCCTAGCCACCGTGATGATGATGAGAGAGAGAGAGAGAGACACGCAAACTTCAAATATACAGCAGGCGTCAGGGTCGGGATCGAACCCACGACCTCCAGTATACCAGGCGAGTTTGTTAACATCTCCTAACCACCGTGATGATGATGCGAGAGAGAGACACTCAATTTCCAAATATACAGCAGCCGCAGCAGGCGTCAGGGTCGGGATCGAACCTACGACCTCCTGTATACCAGGCGAGGTAGTTAACATCTCCTAGCCAATGTAACGTTATCGAGTGGGGGTATGGGGTGAGGGGTTTGCGGTCGTGCCGAGTTTTCTGGTTGTACGGCCAGGCCCGGATTCACCCACGGTCCGATGAGGAGCGAAGGGAAGTTGGTTTGACGTTTTGATATCCGTTAGACATTCGCAACGAAAGCACTTAGCCAGCCCTTTCCAACTGGAATAAGATGGAAAGGGTTTTGTGAAAATGCGTGGCACCACTGGTTTTGCTGTGAATCCCATAAAAACATCAGATAGCGCACTATAACCTTTTCTTTTGTTATCCCATAAAAACATCCTATAACAAACTATAACGCTTACCACACATTTTGGAGTGAAACGCAAGGGCATTGTGAGAAGACGGTGAGAACCACCAGCCCAGAAGACAGTCACATCAGAGAGAGAGAGAGAGCTGCTTACGCCTGACGTGACAGCGAACGATACGTCGTGCACGGCGTTTGTGTCGCGCCGATTCCCGCACGTGGATTGACAGCGATAGCGCGTTCAGGAAAAAAAGTAATCGAGAAAAAAATGTAAAACAGCAACAACAACAACAAAAGAATACCAAAAGAAGCGAGAGAGTGAGCGAGAGAGTGAGCGAGAGAGCGAGCGAGAGGTGGGGGGTTACATAAAGCAAAGTTTAAAAATGTGAATTTAATTAAAACAAAATTACGAAATGATGAACGAAGCAAAGTGCCGAATACACCGAGCATCTTCTTGTTTCCACTGATCGTAAAAAAAATAAACCAGTCGAGAAGTGTTGTAACTGCCGGCTGTGGTACTCTTGACAAACATGCAAGACTACATCACCTGCCTGGAAAACGTCCAACAATCACAATGAGGCTATTTTTTTTTTACTTCTTAGGTGGCAAGTTGACACTCGCACGCACGCACGATCATGCATGCTCTCTGTTGTGTCCTGTGCGATATCGGCAAAGGTGCAGCCCTGCAATTGCCTGTTCACGCCAATGCTGGTGAAAGGGTCTCCACTGGAGGGAGCTCTCTCTCTCGAGAGAGAGAGAGAGAGCCTCGTGCAGAGGTTATTTTGGCCTCCTCTTCCACGCCGGCCGGACGTCTTTGACGAGTTGCGAGTACCCACACTTTACCCCACCTGCCGATCAACTGACGGTGGAGTTCCCACTTACACTGCCTGGGTGGACAGAGGCCCTGGGTGTGTGGCGGGCGCGCGGGCGAGTTAAGAAACTTGCCCCATTGTTTCGATTTAAAGCTTTCGTGACTGCAGGGATTCATCTTCTTGGTTCTTGGTTCGTTCGGTAAAGTCACGTAGAAGGGAAGTAATAAAATAATAAAAATAAAACATAATAAATAATATAATAATATTATATAATAATAAAATAAGAAAAATATTACATAATAAAATAATATAATATTTTATTATGCTTTATTTTTATTATTTTATTACTTCCCTTCTACGTGACTTTACCGAAAGAACCAAGAAGATTGCCCCATTGTTTTAACTGCCACGCCGGAAGATCAGCTCGGCAACTCGTGGCTCGCAAGTCGCGTGCGCTGACCGTGGCACCGTCGCAGCACGCAGACATCCGTCTGGAATCTCCAGGGGGCATTCGACCACGGCGAAACCGATTCACTTCGCCCACCCAACTTATTCCTGTCCCAAAAAATTGTTAGACGTTTCCATTTTTTTAAATAGAATATATTTGAATAAATATTTTCGACAGAGCCGTTCCACCCCCCTCCCCCCCGCCCCCACTTCTTAGGGCATGAGAACAAAGCGATACCTTGTGATATATATATAAAGTAACCGGGTCTCGGGCGAGAGGCCCTGTTATTCCAGCAAAACGCTTCGTCCATCGCCCCAGTCGCCTTCCCCATAATTAACGGAACTACATCAAGGGGACGCGGCGCAGCACGGGGGCAGTCGGGGATTTGGCTCGCTCTAGGGGATTTTTTTTCGTCTTCTCTTTTGCACCAGATTCATACAAACTCCCTCCCCCCCCCATGGGCGCAGAGACTGTGCACAGCTTACTAAGCGCAGGCTGAGATGGAAGCTGCTAACCCGCTCCCACCCAACCCACCCGCCTATTCACTATAGTCAATCGGTCAATATCCTTTATTTAACCAGGAGATGGAATAAACCCGTTGAGACTCGTGGAACAACAGCGTTGCCTCCCCTGGCCAGGGCGACAATCTATGCATGTGATGTATGTTGCACTTCTTGCGCGCCGCACGTAGCCAACCAACCGGTGCTATTCGGAGTTGCTCGTGGGTAGATGTCGAGACGATTGATGTGCACAATGTTGTCATTGTTTGTTTTATCAATCTGGACAAAACATTTTATGATAATTTAACACGAATTCACGTCAGGTTAAGTACCACAGAGAGGAGCGATTTCCAACCTTCCGTTCATCGTGTATCAACTACGAGTCATACGAACTGCCCCAGTGCCCAAAGCAGCATGGACATCTGTTAAAAAGAGCTTTATATATAATCGGATTCCTCCAGTATAAATATACATTCTGATTCTGAGCATGCCCGGTATTATATTTTAGCGATCCAGATTTTTTTTTCAATTACTGACCGATTGGATTTCGGCAAAACGTTTGAAAAATTCCCAAACTCTATTTACATTTCCACGTAGTTCCTAATGTGAATCCGCTGCCAAAGACGCGTAAGCCTGGCAACAAAACATAACCCCACCGTAAATTCAGACACGGCACAACGTTACATATCCGACTCGCTGGGGATACGTGCAAAAGTTCAGACACGACACGTGACCACCTCCAGACGACGACTCTGACACTCCGTACACTGCGTGGGTGTCGGCGGCGCATCATGAAATGGCCACGTGGGATAAGTGGCGGTGGGACACGTGACGTCGCTTGCCGCTGCGTTTAATCCACGCGCTGTTTTCGTGCCACGGGCATGTGAAGGGTGCCGTTGCTCGGTGCTCGAATGAATAACTTCAGAGCTCGCATACACCGACATAGTCACGCTACAGGGCAGATAGCCCCACCACCCACCCGCGCTGCCTATTTGTATTCGTAACTTGACTCTGCAATCCGCTCTCGCCTCTTTTTTTCTCTTCATGAGCGCCCTCCTCGCCATCTCTTCCCCCCTTCTCTGCTCATCCCCATGGCAGCATCAAATCGCAGGGGGTGCCAGCACCGTCACACAAAGATCTGAGTCATTGTTGGTGCCTCGTCAAACAAAAAAAACCTTGAGCTGTATACCGGGCACGGATTCGATTAAAGACGGCGGGGAAGCCAGGCACCGAGGATACAACCGCTCCGTTTTAACTGATCTGTCGGATCAAAGTGTTGCGTTGCTGTGGTACTTGAAATGTGTATCTAGTTTTCTCAACACGGTGGCGAGATGTTACCTACCTCGCCTCGTATGCAGGAGTTCGTGGGTTCGATCCCGACGCTGACACTCGTAAATTTGGAGTTTGCATGTTCTCACCGTGATCGCGTGAAATCCCCTCCACATTTAAAATCAACATGCGTTTAGAATATTTGGTTGATAGAAATGTCCACATGCTAAGTCACTTCGTTGAACTATTATGTGTGGCCAAGTCGCTTCTGGAAAAGAGCTATTTGGCTCAGTGGGCCTTACCTGGTAGAATAAAAATAGTAAAAAAAAAAAATACAAATTTCTCACTCAAGGCGACGCGCTCAAAATTAAAATGCCATTAGTGGCTACGGAGCTGTAGGGCATCTGGCTTGTTATGCGTGGGCTTGTCACAACGAAAACCCATTTTTCGCGTTTATATTTCGTTCTTAATGCAGTACTCGTCTATACTGCATGTGGCTGCGCTATGTTCAGGAGATAAATGCCAATGTCGAGGTCTGCTAGCCACAACGAGAGGGCTTTAGGAGAGATTTTGTGTAAATCTTCGAATCTTCCTCCTCCTCCGTCGAAGGTGGGTGATGGTTGTGTTCTCATAGGCCGGCCTGTCACGTGTTTCGTGTCACGTTGAACACAACTAATACCGCCATCAAGACGAAATGTACGTCGCTAATGCATGGCAAAGAACCAAAAACCTGACAAACCCCCTCTAAAATACGGTGTTTTCACGAACTCATGTGCTGTAAGTGCAGCATTACGGGTCATGGAATACATTAATTCCTCTGCGTTTTGCACCTCCGCGTTGATTATAATTAAATATATTTAAGGCCATCAACCAATTGCCAATTGCTCCATCTAACAAACCCTCGGCGGGTTTCAATCTCCTGTGGTCTCACCAGCAGACGGCGGCTTGCTGAACAAAGGGAAGGCGTTCGAGACCCGATCGGTAAGGAGGGCTCCCTCTAATTGACGCAGGCCCATCCGAGTGCTGTCCAGGCTCAAAACCTGCTTAGCTCTCAAGAAACTGAGTAGATCGTGGCACATTCCAGGTG